TTTAATAAAGACATCTACCTCCTTCTAAATGGATCAGAAAGAAGATTAGAACTGCACATTTTTTACAAATATGACAAAAAGACCTAAAAACTGATGCAATCCAAATCCCTAACATAGTAGCTACTTTCAGTGAACCAAAGTCTTACAAAATTATTCTCAAGTCTGAGGCATCTGCTATAACTCCAACTCAATATTTTGTTTTGCAGCTCTCATTTAACCCATCAATCTATAACTCAGCTTTTGGCTTACAAAATCAGGAGAAAACTGAGTGCCAAAAGTAAAATTAGACTGTGATGAGGAAAAACATAAAGAGTCTGCAAAGCCAGGAGGTACTGAAATGTATTTAAGAAGATACTTCCTAATGGTTATTTATGATTGTTCTCAGCCTATACCAGAGACTTGACTGCCATATCTCAGCCAGTGTAGCAAGAGTTGTTACTTTTGAACATAAAAACATGCCATCTCATTTTTAAAAGCCAGTGATACTGTTTGATGTTATAATCTCATGGCAATAAACTCTGGAGACCAAGTCTTAGGATCAAAAGAATCAATTCTATTTATGTGCTACAGTATTGAACAACTCTCACCCAGTTTTTCTATTTAGACTGTTCAGATAAAGTTGGAGAGTTTTCCTATCTGTGTCTCACTTCCTGGCTTTAATGTGACATACTTGCCAAGTGATAAATTCTACTTTGGTTGCAGGATGTCCATTCTATTTATATGGTAACCAGAAAATGTATGGGCTCAACATGTTGGTTGAGACTCAGAAACTCTGTCCATGTTTCTGTAGAACTATTTCCACTGATATTTACTTGTGTGCAGGTGAGGGGGACAGGAAGATGAAGAACTTGGGCTGCTCTTTTGTTCACATGTAGTAAGATATGATTCCATAAATTTTGTTCTATGAAAATTACACCTTAACTAGCCCATTGCTCATGGTCTCAGCTTTCTCCAAGCTATTCTCCTTAATTCTGCTAAAATATAAGGCATAGCTAGGCATGACAGCATTGTACATAAAACACTCCAGTAATTCCCAAATGTCTACAGACCAATGTCCAAGCAAACTGGCATGAATCATAACACCTTTATGAAAAATGCACCGCTGCCCTACCAAACTCATTTCTCATCATTCTGTACCTTGTATTAATGAGCCATGGAAAGTTATAATTTATTTTTTAGCTTGTACTTTTACCCAGGCCGTGAATCTTTGCTTGGCTAATTCTTATCCTCTAGCATCTGAGGCATTCTTGCCTTCAGACATTTTTGCTGGCTCTTTTTCCCTCTGAAATTAGGATAAGTGGTTTTATTCCATGCTTTTTCATTCAACATTCTGTGCAAATCTTTTTTCCTTGCACTTACGGTATCTGTAATTATAGATGAATGTGCATGTTCCTGCTGCAAATTGCTAGATGTTATAGTTCCAGCAGAGTCCCTGTAACACAGAAAAGATGCTCAAATGTTTCCCAAATGAATTAATACTGGAAAAAATAAAGGAAAAACAACAACAAAAGGAACCAAATTCTCTTCTCCCCAGACACATAGCAATATGTTTTGTGTAAAACCCTGTGGATAAACATTTTATATAGCCCAGCTTATAGATTATAGTTGCTCAACAGATGACTTTGAACTACATCAAACTTCCTTATGGTGTCCCTTCTACTTTTGTACGATTCTAATCTGATTCACAAATTTAATTTATTATAACACTCCTTTACATCTTAAAGTAGGGCAAATGACTCAACCAAGGCTATACAATTTGAAAGTGGCTTAAAGACTAAATTTCTTGACTCCCAAGCAAAGACATTTGTAGATAAGATTTTAACTGAGGAATTGTAGGTTAAAAGAGAGAAAGAATTGAAGAAAGACAGAAAAGTACAATATTCTATTTAGAAAATGTTGTGTTGAAGCAAATTCAAATCAGATAAAAGTAAACTGTCTAAGTCCTGCATCATTTTGTTGAACACTAGAGAGAATGGCATTTAATAAAAAGTCAGGTCTTACTGTTGAGATTCCAAACCACGTGAGGACACAAGGAATTCCAAACTGAAAAATACAGTATTTACTTATTATAAGTACACAGACTCCAAGGGAAATCATAAGGCAAGCTAGTCAGAATGGAAACTGCTTGGAAGGGGAGAAATGTGACCCTGGACCAGAGTAGCAAATGCTGACGAGCAAATGCTGCACGTACAGTGTTGAAAGAGGACCAGGAGTTAGGAAGGCTGCAGGAGGCTGCAGGAAGTGGTGAACACACAGAGGCCTGGACGCCAGGCCCGCTTCAGTGAGAACTGTGTGTAGGAAGAGCGCTCCAAAACTCGGGTGAGGTAAAAGCCTCAGAGAAATACTTCAAGAGAATATATAAACCCATACAGGGCTGGGGATTTATCTCAGTGGCTCAGTCACTTGCCTGGTAAGCATGAGGTTGTAAGTTTGATCCCTTGTAGCAAAATAAACAAGCAAATAAGTAAATAAATACAAAGAGATTCATTCTGAGAAATTGATTCAAATCCTCCCAGAGGCTGAGAAGTCCCAGGATTTGCCATGTGCAAACGGGAGACCCAGGACAGCTGATGGAATGGTTCTAGTTCAGATCCCAAAGCCTGAGAACCAGAAGCCCATAGTGTAAATCCCAGTTTGAGGGCAGATGTTCGATGTTTCTGCTCCAACAGTGCAGTCATGAACGGTCTGATTCTCCCTTCTTCTGCACTTTTGTTTTATTCATGTCCCTTGTGGACTAAGTGATGCCCGCTTACATTGGGAAGGAAAATATTTTACTCAGTCTACCAATTTCCCTGCTGGTTCCTTCTGCAAGTACTCTCACAGGTACAGCCTATATATATATTTAATTAGGTATCTTGGCCCTGTCAGGTGCACATTAAACTGACCATCGCAACCACCAATGTTAAGCCAAGGTAACACTAATTTGTAGATGTCATGAATCCTTTATATACTCTAGAGGCTGAGGAAGATCTCATGAATATGAAAATTATATTTTGGGACAATTAATCTGATAAAGTGATTAAATACAATAGAAATTACTAAAGAATGCTAAGTGAGTCCTGAGCTGTAGGTAATAAAACCCAAACTGAAGAATTATGTACGTGGAGAAGGAAAGAAACAGTTGCAAAAACAATAACTGTTAAAATTTCATATAATTTCAACATGCTAATATTTGTGCTAGCACCGTTTAGTCCTTATGAAAGCTCGCATGGGTCACACTGCGCAGTCTGAGATATCTGTGCTCCAGGTTAAGTGACCTGCTTGAGGTCACACTTCAGAGATTCAAACAGTCTTGTGGGAAACTCATGTCCTTTCTGCCGCACTGCTCTGCTTTCTGATCAAATGAGTAATTACACTCAAAAGGCGCCAGGATGTAAACAACTACAAGTACATATAGTTTCATTCTTAGACATTTCACATTTTTTACATGTCTGGTGAATTTGGTGAAACTAGGAGGAGAAAAACAGATACATGTATACAAAGATCTGAGTTCTCTGTATCTCCATTTAGAAGTGAAACTCAAACAGTGTGCACAAAAATCACCGAAGAATTGAAATGCAAGACTCAGGGGTCAAATTTTTATTTAATGAAGGCAACAAAAATGTAAAATGTGAGTCTGTAGAAGCCAGACAACAGTGAGTTTGATTTCCTAAAACGATGCTACAGGCAGAATACTATCTCCCTTAAAAGCCATCTACATTCTAATCCCTGAATTTATAAATGTTACCATATATGGCAAAAAAGACTTTGCATTTTGAATATATCATCCTGGATTATGCATACGGGCTCTAAGAGAGTCCTGGAGAAGAGGAGGATTTCACACACATAAGAGGACAATCTAATGTGATCACAAAGGCAGAGAATGGAGTGGTGTAGCCATGACACGGAGAGCTGGCCATCACTGGAAACAGGGAGAGATGAAGGCAGGAATATGCTGTAAACTCTCTGGAGAGATCATAGCTATGTCAACCCTTGGATCTGCCCCAGAATTGTAGGGTGATAAATTTCTCTCGATTTGAGCACCAAGTCTGTGAAAATTTGCTACAGCAACCATAAGCCCTGATGCCAACTGGTGGTAAATGGTCATAAACAGAGGAACACTTCAATAATATATCGCTGGTCTACAAGGTGATTGAAATACATATTCCTGAATTAAAAATAAGACTTATTATAATGAGGGATGCATCACCAAGAATGATGGGATAAGTGTGTTTGAAGCAAGGGGGGCTTTTGTGAGGAGAACTAATGACAATGCGGTTTTTTTTTTTTTTTTTTGCTCTATTTTTTTATTTTAAACATTCACTGTATGTTTGGGTCACACCTCGTCTCTTTTAATAGAAAATGAAGGGTTGGAGTTGACCTTGCAAACAGACTATGACAACTCCTTGGACCCTGGGTACCCCGTGTGCAGGGTGCAGACTATGACAACTCCCTGGACCCTGGGTACCCGTGTGCAGGGTGCAGACTATGACAACTCCCTGGACCCTGGGTACCCGTGTGCAGGGTGCAGACTATGACAACTCCCTGGACCCTGGGTACCCCGTGTGCAGGGTGCAGACTATGACAACTCCCTGGACCCTGGGTACCCGTGTGCAGGGTGCAGACTATGACAACTCCCTGGACCCTGGGTACCCCGTGTGCAGGGTGCAGACTATGACAACTCCCTGGACCCTGGGTACCCGTGTGCAGGGTGCAGACTATGACAACTCCCTGGACCCTGGGTACCCCGTGTGCAGGGTGTTTTGCAGCAATTCTCTTCATCCTGCCCATTTAGGTTGCTGCTGTAACAGGTCTGACTGCTGTTAAGATGTTAACACTGACAAAATAAATGAATGCTAATAAAACGGTGACGTGTCCTGCTTTCCAGCCACTGAAGCTGAGCAGTGGTTTATGATGGAGCTGAATAATTGGACACCGTGATGAATTTGAGGTGTTACAGTTTTGATGGCCTTTAGATTATGATGATTGTTAAGCGGTAATGCCACATCTCTTCTCCTCAGGCTCGGTGGGATGGCCTGACTGGGCGTATCATCTTTAATAAGACGGATGGCTTGAGGAAGGATTTTGATCTGGACATTATTAGTCTCAAAGAAGAAGGAACTGAAAAGGTAACTTCCTTGATAATAAGTACATTAATTCTTTCATTAAGTAAAGACTATAACTCAAGCTGGGTGAGGAAATGCATTCCTATAATTTCAGCACTAAGACACCGAGGCAGAAGGACTGTAAAGTTTGGGCCTAATAGCTAATGATTTAGTCAACTGGGGTACAATTCAGTGCAAATGTCCTGGGTCCAAGTCCCAGTGCTACAAAAAGTAAAGAATAAAAATATAAAAGCACGGCTGAGACAGTTTAGTTAAATTGTACAGACAAGTTGGGGAGAGGTAACGTTGTTTTTTTCAGTATTTTCATTTATTTTAAATTTTCTAGGTTCTTCTACCTTATCTGCAGATAGAAGTTGACGTGCTACATTCCTAAGCTACATGTGCTAATAGAAATGTTAGCTAACGTTTATCAGTGCTTGATTTATGTTGGAAGTGTGCATTCATAGATGCCTATATTATCTATTGTGGATGTCGTCAGGCCCATTTCTCATAATTTTTAAGAAATAGAGTCTAGGCTTGTCATAGAATAGCATCCAAAGGTTACTAAGAAATCAAGTTTAACTTCATTCTGAGATTGGCAGCAAAGTGGCTTCCTGAAGCAAATTAACTCTGCATCCTTAATTTTAGGTCAATAGCTAAAATATTCAACTAAGTTTAATGTTGGATTCTCACTCTAGTATTATTTTAGTGGTAATTCCCTATTTCAAAGTTTAAATTTTTATTGTAGTTTCTATCCTGAGTAACACAATTGTAAATGATAAAAGAAAAAGATAGTTCCACCTCCTCAGGAGGCTGAGGCAAGAGGACTTTAAGTTCCAGGCCAGCGTGGACAGCACAGGAAGACCCAGACTCAGAAAACAAACAAACAAAAAAGGGAATTTGACTTCTCTGTAGGTTTTATGCCAACTTCAGTATTCATAGTACAAACTGAAATTAACACATATCATTTTATGTCTTACCTGTAGTCTTAAGGAACAAATGATTCTGAAGTCACCAAAACAATCCTCTGATCAACACAACTCTATAACAAGTTTTTCTAAGGTATTGAACAAGACAGTCTTCCTAACATAAAACGTGACTTTGGAACCGATCAACGTCTTCCTTACTTTGGAGTAGTTAGTTTTTGTTTGTTTGTTTTTATGAAACCAAGGTTTTCATAGCCTTTGTTAACTAGGACAATTTTCTATCTTTTTTTTCTCTTTGAGATCCTAACTACCCTGTCCCTTCAAATATCATTAATTAAAACAAAGGTTAATTAAGTTGAGTGCAGTAAAAGGTTACCACTGGTATTGAAATATTTGAGGAAAATAATCCTAAACACCAATAATAATTCTAAATAGTAATAATAATTCTTGCACCTTTAAGAGTGCACAGTATACAGGCAGTTTTCTCAATTCAAAAACGCTGCACTTCCTTCTTCCTCTCTCCCTGTCCCCACCCCCTGGCTTCTTCTTAAATCTGCAGCAAACCTTTGGTGTTTTAACAAAGAACAAGGCATCCACCTGGTCTCCACAATGGCTGTGGGATTCGGGCTGGAGCCAGCCAAAGAAAAGAATACTTATTATGGTCTAAAAGCCTGTAATTTATTTTTAAAGAAAATGTCTGCTTCTTTAGGAATGCTCCTTTCTTTTTAGAGTACAGCGCTGAAGGAGAAGAAAAGCTCTTAAGGAAACCTCTTTTTGGCCCAGACAGGAGATAACATAGAAGGAGATATTATTACGTTTTTCACAGCTATTTGTACTTTGCCAATATTAAACACACTCTATGGGTTTTTTCCATCAAAGGCAAAATCTAATGAGATGAAAGTGTTTTCTGTTTGTTTCTTATCTCTTCATTGTTTGTAATAAGTTTTCTTTCTTCAGGTGACTTGGGCTTCATTCTTGAGAATGTTGATTGGGTCCTGGGGCATTGGGGGAAGCCAACACACCTCTCTCAGGAGCAAAGAGAGGACATGTCCAGTCTTTCCTTGCTAGCCTCCCTCAGAGATCACAGGGGAAATTATCAGAAAAAAACACACATTTTTTATTTGCTCTCAAGTTTCTGCTGCCTGAAAATTTGTAATTAAAGAGTAAATCATCATGCAACATCATCCTCTTCCAGTTTAGAAGTGTGTGTGTGTGTGTGTGTGTGTGTGTGTGTGCATGTATGTTTGTGTGTGTGTGTTTCACTGTGGGTGTGAACTGACCCACTCAATGCTTCAGCAGCTCTTTTGAAGAAATGATTAAGATATTTTAATGCACCCCATCTATTTACTGTGCCAACTGGTTGGCTTTAAAATATAAAAAATTTTTAGGTCACTTTTTTGGTGTATGAAAGGAAACATGAAATTTTAAGTCTTACCACCAACTCATTTCTACTCCACTCACACTGTGAACCATTTATTTATTGTACCAACTGGTTGGCCTTATAATGAATTAAGGTGCAAAATTCAAGACAACAGCTATAGAATATAACCCTTTGCATTCACACAGGGTGTACTTTTTGGGTTCGAGAGTCTATCTTCATTGACTGATATTTTTATTTTTCCCTCTGAACACTGAGTCTGCTGATAAAGGTAACTAAGAGCTTGTCTTGAGTGTGGAAAGTTTGTCTTCTGATGACCCTGCCAGGACACCTAAGGATGGGGGGGGATGAGAATAACCATGACAAAATCCTCCACCATTCCAGTTTTCCATACCAGAACCCTCCAATTGCAGCTTTCGATTGATATTCTCTATAAAGGAACAGCACAGGTGATTAAACATTTTCTCTACCTATTCTGTCAATTCAAAACAGATGTGCAATGGGTTCAATAGTGATGGATTAGGTAATAACAGATTAAATATTTCTCCCTGATTATTTTTATTTCTCCCAGGCAGGATCAGTCACTAAACAGGTAACTGCAGCAGAAGCAGACATGTGCTGTTTATATTGTTTCTCAAAATACTTCTCAAACATTTCCCCCAAGGATCATGAAAACAGCTATAGGTTTGATCCATCAGACAGAAAGTCTCAAACCGTGGACGACGAGGACACCTCAAATGTCACCATCACAAAATATGAGCTGTTCTCAGAAATGCCCCTTTCTTAGGAGCTGTCTCTTTTCCAAATTACCTTTTTCAGATCGTATTACACTGCAACTTATCTTAGAATTACAGTTTCTGTAGGAGCAAAACATTAGGAACTTTGGAAGGAAAATGAGATTATCTTGTAAATTATAACACCCACTGTTTTGTAGTTTACTATATAGCGGCACCATATTGCCAATGCATGTGCGTAGATTTATGCAAACAAATGTCAGACATTAACAGCATTTAGGTTGGGAAAATATCTCAGAGATAGGCTAGCATTACACTGCCTTCCATTTTTTCTCCTCCCTCTCCCTTTTCTCCCTCTCTCATCTTCTGTGTTTCCTTCCATCTCTGTCTCTTTTCTCCCCTCCCCCTGTAAAGTCCGTGGACTGATGGATGGTCCTTAAATTTCTTTAGGCTGTTCAGCTTCAACAGTTTGTCAGGTTCACTTTCATCTTATCAAGTGAGTCACAAAAAGTGTAAATAGTTTTTTCCTATACCCTGAAGGCTGGTCTCCCTCTTGGCAGTACTCAGTAGATTCATAGATGAGCTCTTTTTATATTGTAAAAAACATGAGTTTAATAATCTTCCTTGCTACTGAAGCACACAGAAAGTGGGCTAATTTTCTCACTGCTAGTAAACAGAGGACCCTAACTGGAACCCAGAAAGCAGTTAATTACACTCATCCAGATTGAGACTCTGAGGAGTTTGTGTAATGTTGAATTAATTCAAATAAATAATGTAGAAAAGGAACTTCATGCACTGTGATTTCACACAAGGAAGGGGAAATACTCTCCATTTACCTTTAAGCTATAAACATCCCAGAATGTAATTTCCTAGTCTTGCCTGTTTACATTTTTGTGCCACTTCCTTCCTGACTTTGTATCACTGACCACACTGTACAGTGTCTGAGCTCACGTGTGCTGTTTTGTGGTATGATCGTTCACCAAAACCACAGTAACCTGGGTTCTACAGCATGCTGGTGTGCTGGTCAGCTTTCCCTTGGCTGGGACACATGCTTAAAGGAGGAGAAGTTTAGTTCAGCTCATGATTTCATGTGTATCAGTCCATGGTTAGCTGGATCCAAGTCAAAAAGATCATGATGTGGCAGAGCAAAGCTTCTTAATTCATAGTCATCAAGAATCAAATTAGGGCCTGGGGATTTAGCTCAGTGGCATAAGCACCTGCCTTGCAAGCACGTGGTCATGAGTTCAATCCCCGATAGCAATAAAAAAAAAAAAAAAAGAACCAAAGCAGGGGAATAACACCAGAAAGGAAGGGACCAGGTAGCAGATAAACTATCCTAGGTCATGCCTTCGTGACCCACCTAGACATACCCAGAATTGTGTTTTGCTAATCCCCAGGGAAATTCCCAAAGCAAAAACGATGATAGTTAAACTTATTGATTAGGGACTCATTTAGACTTAAAAAACATGTCACATCTTACCAAGGATACACCATCTTTAAAAAGAAGAATTCACCCTCATTATGTTTAAATTCCAAAAGCTCTTCTCAATTGCATTCCTCATTTTAAAAACAACAGAATAGCTCACTTGAAATTCTTTGCAAAAGAGGGCGATGGCAATCTTTACAAACCCCTGGCCAAAATATACATTATGATGCTTCAGGATGAAGAATATGTACACACATTTATTTTTATTTCCCCTGGATACTTGATTATCCCACTCCTTAATTTTGTATTTTGTGTTGATGTGCACTCCTGTTATATTTGGAAAACAGATCCTCCTGAGTCTTTAAATGCCCTTTGTTGCGTGGAATTCTAGAAGTGTACTAAATGTCCTGTGGGCATTCATTTTCAAATCTACACTCAGTTATGTGGAGTAACAAATGGCAGCTCTCTCCCGCCAGCTGATGCAGAGTGAAAGGAGGCAGGCTGGGCCGGTTAGTCTTTGAGGTTTTCCCATACACAATTGATCCACCTGCACTACTCCTCACCAGAAAATTACTACTGTCTGTTTTCTCTATTCAGTTTGAAAATTGGGATTCTGCTTCCTAGGGGCACAACCTCTCAGCACCTCCAACAAAACCCAAATGCCAGTGTCTGAGCATCTGGTTCACTCTGCTGGTCTCGGCAGCACACATTTATCAGGGCTCTTGCTGCTTCAGAGAGAAGAGAGAGGGAACTGATCATTTGATGACAACCTGGTCATTTATTTCAGTTAATAAGGAAAGCCAGTGGACTACTTACATTTGAAACACACACACACACACACATTCTCTTTGCTTTTTCTAATTAAAATATTGAAAAACAGAAAGCGGAGATCATTCAAATTGCACATGTGTCCAGTACATAGGCTGTACATTTTGTGACATTCTTTCCATTTACATTTAAATGTTCTTCTGCTACACAGATAGTAGGGGGAAAGTGTCTCTTTTTTCTCATTTTATGGAGGGAAGTTTGCACCACTGGGACTCTGAGACTTAGTTGATTGAAAAGGCAGCATCAGTGTCATCTTAACTTCTGTGCTTTTACTGGGGAGAGTAAAAGAAATAGAAGCCAGACGTCATGCTGTGGCTTATGTTTGTCTACAATTTCAAGCTTTATTTTAGAAAGGAATGCTATTGCAGGACCAATTCAACAGTGCCATTTTCGAATACGGAAACTATCTCCAAAATAGTTCTTTTAAACACACACACGAATGACATTAATGAAAAAGAGTTAAAGAGAACACATCCTATTACTTGAGCAAAGTGGCTGAAAACAGTTATGTTCTTCAATTTTCAATACTTACTTAATTAAAAACTAAGTTATATTCTCCTCAGGGCCCAAGTCAAGTTTTAATTAGAATTATACCAAGAGCTACATGTACACAGTGTCTTCATGAAGTTGCAAGTGGGTCATTCACAACCTAAAGCATAGCTTTGAGACAAAAAAAAAAAAATCTAAGAGACAAATATATTTAGCCTGAGTTGTCTTTCCTAGGAGCAAGACCACCCTGCCAGAAAAAAAAAGTGGTAAAGGGGATGAACGTAGAGAAGAGAGAGCAAAATAGATTGCCTTGTTTCTTGGGTTTAAGACTAGCCAAAGAAACTGAAGATTCTGCAATTAAAAGACTGATTATGCACATTTTAAAGGACAGACATTACATGATGCTCTGGATGTCTTGAAGGTTATTAAAGTACTGACCTACCTACCTTGCAATCCCCTGCTTCTGCTACCTTCTTAGACAGTATCACAATAGTTTGAAATAAATACTCCTAAACCGCCAACCGCCTCAACCTGCATTCATTTCTTCAATCAACTAAACCCATTTGAAAGTAGAAAAAGGAAGTTGAAATAGTTTATGTTAAATGTGAAAATCCTGGAAACTTCCTCTAAGCATTTATATCCCTAAAAGAGATGTTTATGCCAAATGAATTTCCATCTTCTAAGTTTAGGCACTAAAGCAAATATTAAAGGGGTAAATATCTCACATGTAATATTTTGTTTATATATCAGAAAAGGCCTATTTTTCCCCTTTTACTGCTGAGAAGATTGAGGCACAGAGGTTAATTAATTTATCCAAGTTCGCAAAGCTGATTTGTCACAAAATCTGTCTGCAAAGCTCATTCTTTTTCCAGCCAAAGAAATGTCTTTCCACTGAGGGAATACACTTAGGGATCACACACAGACCAGCCTACCCAAAGAGTTTTCCAGATGTCAGTGTTCTCAATATGGCGATACTTTTCATAGCTCCTTTACCTTACAAATTCTAAATTTAAACATACTAACAATTCCAATTCTTTTACAACAGGCAAGATTAAAGAAATTACTTAAACAATCCTTTAGATGTTCTTTACTGTTAATATTAACAAGGTCCCAAGACTTTCACATATATCATCTCAACTGAATTTCTCAATCTTCTTACAAAGAGTGTTATAGTTAGAGAAGAAAAGCTCAGAGAGTTTAGCTTCATGTCCAACATCGTGGGGTAACTTCCTGATTGTTTTTACCTGATTCTCAAGTGACTTGCATTCCATTTCATAAGACTGCCTGTAAAAACCTACCGGACTCAGACAAATTGCTCAGTTTCCTGAAGTTTTTGTCCCAGGCTCCTCCCTATAGAGTTAAACAAACCCATACACAGTTTTACTATCCCCTGTTTGAAGTGCTCAGGCAAGAAGTGTTTAGGATTGTGAAAATTTTATTTTGGAGGGAAGAGAATTTGAAATATTTGCATGTACATAAAGATAATTTATGATGAAACCTAAATCTTAACACAAACCTTGTATGCTTCACATACATCTTATGTCTTACTCGTTTTCTTCATTGCTGGGACAGAAAAATCAACAATCACAACTTAAAGGAGGGAAGGTTTACTGTGACTTAGAGTTTTTAGAGGATTTAGTCCACAGTTGGTGGCTCCAAGGCAGGAAGAGCATGGTAGAAAAGTCTGATCAAGGAAAGCGGTTTGTGTCATGACAGCCAGGAAGCAGAGACGGAGCAGTCACAAAGAGAGATGAAGTCTATTGTGTCCTGGCCCTAGTGACACATTTCTTCCAACCATAGCACATTCAACTATGCATTCCTCAGTGGATTAACCCTCTCATGAGTGTAGTGTCCACATGATCCAATCACCTTTCAAAGCCTCTACCCTGAAGCCATGAACTTTCGGGGATTTTACATCTAAGCATAACAGAACATACGCATTGCCTGCAGGTAATCTCATACAATATCTAATACACTTGTATTTTGATTCAACATATCCTATGAGACTCGGTGTGGCATTTCCACCTGTAGCATCATCACATGTGTACTCAAAAAGTTTTGGAGTTCGGAGCATTGCAGATTTTGAGTGTTCAGATTAGGGATCCTTAACCAACCTTTCCATGGAGTTTTAATAACCAAGAAATAACTAAGTTGCTGGAGAAAACAGCAAGTTACTATTTTTTAAAAGAGCAATGGGCTTCACTGAATGCTATGATTAGTTCTGTAATAGAAAATCAGTGAGTAATAAAAGTGAGTGTCCTATTTCAGGAGTCCACATGCATGTAGGCACATAAGACAAGTGGACAAATAATAACAACAGAGGGTTCTGGCCCATATGACAGAGGTATGAACAAAATCCTATGGGTCGCACCAAAGGTACCGATTTTACGACATTGCCTGCTCTGTGAAGACAGAGTCAGCATTTGGTCACCTTCTAAACCACACTTTTCTCCCACTGATTTTCCCTTCCCAGTGTCCAGTGTCTCTGCCATCCACCATGCTTCCTCCATCCTGTACTTCATAACGTTTGGAAAGGAGAGAAAGTGGAGGGAAAGGGAAACTAAAACGAAGATGTGCTGCGTACAAATACCAGCTCCCGGGTGGATTATGATCATTATGTACTGCACGCATGTACTAATCGAATAATAGAAAACAGGTTCAAGGCACTGGTGTTACTGGTTTGGTAGTATCGTGTTTGCATAATTAGGATGCAAGCTGCAGGACAGTAATTTTTGTTTAATAATACACTGTTGTACTTCCAGTGGGTAGAACAACTTGGTACAAAACTAGATGCTCAAAAAATAAATAAATAAAAAATAAAAAACTAGATGCTCCACAAATATATACTGGAAGAAAACTCTGCAAGTCATTTTAAAATTCTTAATTTTTTTTAATTTAAAGAAAAATAATGAGGATAGTAAATTATAACTGAAAACAGCCTCCCCCGACTCCCATCTTGAATTGCTCTTATTCTGTCTAGTCTAATATAGTCAGCCTTTGTTCCATTGCTTCACTTTTCCACATTTAGAGATGTGAAGTCCTGGTATCTAAGATTCCAAGCTCTCCTGCCCCTTCCTGGTGTAGGAGGCGCCTCTCGTTAACATAACTGCAATCACAGACAGTCATCAGCCTCTAACGTATGTGTTCTGTGTAGATCGGGATTTGGAACTCCAACAGTGGGCTTAACATGACGGATGGCCACAAAGAAAAGACCAACAATATCACCGACTCACTGGCCAACCGAACACTCATTGTCACCACTATTCTGGTAAGTTGCCTTCTAGAAGTCAGCGAATACAATTTAGACTCCTATGCGAGAGCCAAAAGAAAGTTTCAACTGTCTTTTTTATGCTTGTAGTTCTGTCTGAGAATGTCTACTTTTAACTGGGTCACGTATTGTTGTATATTCTTTCTTCCAACCTTTAGTTGACGATTCCTCCCTTCAGTGCATACTCAGCCCTGCTATTCCTCCCTGTCAACCCCCATCTAGCTCTTCTTTCTTGCTCTCTGACTGCTGCTCATTTGGTCTAATCAAGAGAGTCTAGCCACAGACCAGGGAAATGGAGAGAGGCAAGAGGATTTCTCCCCCTGACTCTTTCCTACTATCAACCAGTGTTTTCTGTCAGAACCTCTGTTTTACACAACCACAGCTCCTACCCAGTCCACCAGCCTACATCCTGGGTCCAACTGCAGTGTGCTCCAGGGGCACTCTGCTGCTTGTGCCTCAGTTCTGGGGTTTCCTGGCTTCCTGATTCAATGAGTCTCTGTCAATACCCTGTCTCTATCTCGTCCCAATTTTCCTTGGCTCTCTTTGTGTGTAACACCTGCTCTGGGAGCTATCCTTCGAAGAGGCTGCTTCCTCTTGGAACCCTGATCCTACGTCAGTCCAGTCACTGTGCACCAATAATTGCTCATTCTCATCCTTTTCTCTTCCTGAGAGAGTAGGCTAGAGTTTTCCTCTCTAACTCATCCTTTGCACTATGGCCTGCCTTGTTTTATTTAGTGCAGAATATTACTTATTTTTGAAATAGTTGTGAAAATTATCTTCTAAGTAAAAACTACTTTTTTATTCTAGTCACTATTTTCACTGTCATCAACTTATACTAATACAGTTTTCTATTGTATTTGTACAATTGAACTATCAGTTTACTTAATGATGAACCTAAACACACAGGATATGTTAACAGCATAATAATGATTATAATTTGTGTAGCAAAAATGAACTTTCATTTAGTCAGGTAGGAAATAATAAATTTATAGATAAGTGGGTCAAAAGAAAGATTCTTATTCAAAAGAGGGGATTTATTAAACAAGCCTATAAGCAAAAAATGAGCAAATTTGAGATGGGAGTGACCTATATGGCTAGCTAAAACAGAAACTAAAGGATATAATATTGAGGGGGAAAATACATGAAGAAATGAGGACATTTAAAACAGGGAGTTTGAAAAACCAGATGCATTTGGAGATTTTGACGTTTTCCTTTGTAAGTAGATGAGGCTGTTATGGCACAACAGAGAGGAATGGTGGAGAGCAGGCCAGGTGTGGGCACAGCTGGGGTCAAGCATCTGGGCTTCCATTGCCCTTGGAGCCTTTCCGTTTTTCTCAGATCAAAAATTTAAACGTGACTGTGAATCAGTCACACCATTCACTCACAGCACCCCTCCCAGCAGTACAAGAAGAATCTCCCATCCAAAGAAGCAGGAGAAAAAGAAAATGTACGTGAAAAGCTCTATATTTGCACAGGGGAAGGGAAGGGCAAGATTAGCAAAGCATGAAATTTGTAACTGAGTTCCGTGTTCTCCACTCCTAAGAACCATCTTCAAATATGTCATAATTTCAGGCTGTTGCTGAGCTAATCCTTCCATTCACACTAATGAAGTTTCCTTGTTTGGTTTGTTTCATTTAGGAAGAGCCCTATGTGATGTACCGAAAATCAGATAAACCCCTGTATGGAAACGACAGATTTGAAGGATATTGCCTGGATCTGTTGAAAGAACTGTCAAATATTCTAGGTTTCCTTTACGATGTTAAACTAGTCCCAGATGGCAAATATGGAGCCCAGAATGACAAAGGAGAGTGGAATGGGATGGTTAAAGAGCTCATAGATCATGTAAGCAAAAGCACATTTTCTATGTCTAGAAAAAAATGTTCAATGAGAGGAAATAAAATAAAAAAATGATTGAATCAGTGTCAAAAGAAATGTTTCTTTATTTAAGATTGTTTACTTGGAAAGGAAGATAAGGCTAAAAGTTGAGAATAAAAATTTAGGAATCCATTCTTTATACCAAAGTATAGGCCTGAATGATGCTTAAATTAGATTTTAAAAGTTCTAAGATTTTAGGCTCAGAACAAAATGTTGTCTTGCCAACCAGGATTATGACTAAGTTACTCATTTCTTCCATTTCTCATATGTATTTTATAAAGACATCTCTCTGCAGTTTCTTCCATTTTATTTCTGGGTGATTGTGTGTGTGAATTTGTACCTTCTTGTTTCTCTTTGCTGGTAAATGCTATTTCATGCTCATGCCTGTGTAAATTACCTGTTTTGAATATTAAAGCCAATCATCATAGAAGCATCTTGCATAAAAAGTATTTGGAGTAGAAAATAGGGACCAGGTGTACCCAGAAAGTCTAGATGGTGAAAGTCTAGAGAAGCGAGATAATGAAGCTGACAACTTTGCTTTTACAGAGGGCTGACCTGGCAGTGGCCCCCCTGACCATCACTTATGTGCGGGAGAAAGTGATTGACTTCTCCAAGCCCTTTATGACTTTGGGCATCAGCATCCTTTACCGGAAGCCCAATGGGACCAACCCAGGTGTCTTTTCCTTCCTCAACCCTCTGTCTCCGGATATTTGGATGTATGTCCTCTTAGCCTGCTTGGGAGTCAGCTGTGTTCTCTTTGTCATTGCAAGGTAAGTTTGAAAACTACTGGATTTACTACAATGGGTCTATGTCAGCTTCACTTTACAGATAGACAAAAATAAAACTAAGACACACTTTTAGTTTTGTTTAGTGTTTTATTCTCTCTAGGTTTCTATGTAAAAGCCACTCTATAAATGGATACCTTCTAATTTTTCATAAAGATACTTCTTAGATGAGGACAAACAAATAATGTTTTATATTATTTCAATTATTTTAACAACATAAAGTGGTTATTAACCTATTTCCCCTGAGTTATAGTATAATAAAGGCAGTGATCACTAATATATCTAAAATGTTTCAATAAGAAAAAGAAAATTATGTTGGGATATATGGCTTTTGAAAGACTTGGATAAAAAAAGCAGCAAAAAGTTAGCTAGGAATTATTACTGCTAGTAAGAAAAACTAGAATAAAAATATTGTTAAATCTATGGAAGAAAAATACTTTGGAAATTCAGTGAAATTTATTTTAAAATTTTTAATGAAATAAGAGAATGCTGAAATTACAGAGAAACATAGCATGAAATCTGTATGTTTCCATTAAGTTGATTGGGTTTGTTTTATTTTATGAGATTGTATTCTGAGTTTAACCACTTTGCTTTATTCAGATCCTTAAAGGATTCTTATACCTTTTAAGTAGATAATATTTTCTAAACACAGTGATGCTGAGTTGTGTTTGGTTTTTCTTTATCTTTTATTGTTATATTTTTGCAATACAGATAGTGATGTTCACTGGGAGCATTTGCACATACATATAACATATCTTTATCATTTCCATACCTGAATTTAAAATATCTATTCTCTTTCTGTTGGCTGAAATGATTAACCACATTTCAAAAAATTGGTTTTTTCATGTCACCTACTTAATTTCAATCTTTTTCACCTTTCAACAAAATTCAATGAACTTTTTCCCTAATAAATTTTTGTTTTCCCTCCAGGAAGTTCTAAAAGAAGTATTTCTCCCTGCTAACTCTTTATCATTGTACACTGTCCAGTTTTGCTTAATGTCAGGTAATTCTTTTCCTGGCGTAATTATAAAGAAAACTCAAGCAATAGCCTGGATTGGAAAGGCCTAAGAGACCCATAGGCAGACTTATTCATACTGAACAGAGAGGTGCAATCACATGCGGCATTCATCATTCAACATGAAGTCAAACTTTTGAAGTTATCTACACCTGGTAAAATGTGCCATTGCAAAACCCCAGGTTGTACATGTTTAAATAGTGATCAAAGCTCTCTTTTTATATGCCTTTCCTCAGAAAATATAATGTTGACGATATATATGATGATATTATCCTTTAATATTTAATTCTCTGAATCAGTGATTCTCAGCTAGGACATACTGTACCTCCCAAGGGGCAGTGGGTAACATCTGAAAATATTATTTTAGTTATCACAACTTGAGTGAAGAGTGCTCTCCATATCAAATGAACAGAATCCATTCTGTTCTGATATATATCCTGTAGTATAGAACAATGTTTCCCCCATCACACACAACAAAGGATTATCAATTCCAAAATATCAGTACCCCCAAGGCTGAGAAACCATGCTCAAAACAAAGAAAATCTTGCTTTGGAAATCAAATTGCAAGAAGTTGTTTACCTCGGGAGATGTGGTTCCCATGGAAAGTTAATGTGGCTTCCAATGAATAAATGGCCACTGTTAGGGGAAGGTATCTCCAAAGATGAATAAGGAGTCTTACGTTGACTCGTTGCATTCCTCTGTCCTGGGACTCACCTCTGTTGAATTAGATTAGGCCTCGTTGAGCAATCTAAGAAGCACAGGGTAACAGGAAAATGCTTCTCTATCCCCAGCCTAGGCCTGCTCTAGGCAGTGATGCTGGGTAGAACACTGTTGATTAGTGAATATACGACATATTATAACAGAGTTGACCAAAGCTAATGAGAGAAAAAAGACAAGTCAGTAACATCCAGAAGTCCTCAAAAACTCATAGGCTGACTGCATTCTTTAACATTTGACACCATCTGGGACTGAAGTCATCTTATTTTTGTCATTAGAAACTACCAGAATAGTGTAACATTCAGTAGTTTCCCCCTATTTATTTCTCAGTTCCTTTATAATCTCCTGGTGATAAAGACCTCTCTACTGCTCTCACACATTCTCTTTCTTTTATGGTAGCAGTAACCCCCAGCTCACAATGCCATCCATTCTATGTCCCTACTTGCTGACAGTATCATTTATAAACCAGCCCTTCCCTATTTAGCTTATTCTCCATGACTCCTCTAGCACTGTCTTTCTCTTGCTCTGAAATTTAGAAAAAGAAGAGTGATATACTGCAAACACCACGATGGTAAAATACGGCAAGTACTGTACAAAAATATAGAAAATAATTCCCTGTAGTGCGTAAGTACACTGTTAGGGAGACTGAACTCACTTCATGTTTTCTATGCGTTTGAGTCTATCCTTGTTTCTACTTGATAAAACCACAGAAGACACTTTAGAGAAAATTCCCCAAAACAAAATCCTAATTGAATAGGATACCAGCTCACCTTTAGTTCCCATTATCACAGTTTGATACTATGAACTCAACCACTCTGCGTAAGCTAGGGTGTAAAATCATTCTGGTTACTATCCTAATGGTTTGCATTCAAAGTCAGCGAAGTAAAGCTGAAAAACAGTTAATCTCCTAATCATCTTTAGCTCTACAAAAGCTTTTGAATCTTTGTTGTGAAGACATCCTTTTATGTTCTTTTAAAAGAGAAAAAAATAAAGCCCATAACTGCATTTAAACTAAGGCCCTCACAAGATAGATGCTTAAAATCATTTGCTGAGCTGAATTGAATTTATAAAGCTGCAGAAATGACTGGAACAAGTGAAGGAAAATATTTCATTCCACTCCAACTCAATGAGACCTTATTTCAAAATAAAAAAGGCAATCTGAGGTTTATAGCTTAGTGAGGGTTCTGGGATTAATTTCCAGTACCACAAAAATTAGTTACTATGATTTATGGCAAATATTCATATCTGTATTCCTTTCTTATAGTTGACATTTTTTCTTTTTTGAAAAATATTTAACCTTAAGGAATTATATCCATGATGAATATACAATTTAAGAAGACCAAATATCTAGAAGCAATATTAATTACATTTTATGATTTTTTGCTTTCTTCTTAAAAAATAAACTTTTTAAAAGGTCACATATGACCAAAAAAAAAAAAAAAGAATAAAACAGAAAATCCTTGAAAGTATATTCCAAGGTTATAAAACAAACCCAAAGCCTATGTTGCTGTTTCAAATGGAACTTCTCCTTTTATAGGACAAATGGATCACCCTCTCTTAAATGCAGCCCAATATCCACTCTCAGCATTAAAAATTTGCTTAGTTAGAGAACTTTGGTGTCAGAATTGTTTTATGCCTTCCATTCAAATGTGAACTGCACCTGAAGCATAAACTCAAAGTGAATTTTCCCATTTCAACATAAGGCCACGCTGCCACATGCAAGTTTTGACACAGTCTAAGTACATTTGCCCCTTTTGTTGTTATTTTGCTGAAACTCAGGACAGAGTTGAGAGCCACATGGGATGAGCACTTTCAGACTGTCATCAGTGTGGGTCGTGTATTAACCTTTCCCCCAGACCTCCTGATGCCAACATGCAGTCCTGCTGGCTATAGTTAAGCAATTGTTAGGAGTTTCAAGCTGAAACAGTTTTATCCAGGTAATAGGTAGGTCTACTGCACTGTAAAAAAAAAAAAAACCCGGTGTCTCAAACCACAATATCATGTCATTCATTAATATTCCTCAGTGCCCACGCTCCCAAACTCTCTCAGAATCGGAATCCAGAGATAACAAGCAAGTACAATCACATTGCTGTTTAGCCAGTTTTCTTTTTTGCCACAGAAAATTCAATTAATTGCTCACTTGCAAGTGCAAAGTGTGACCTACTAAAAAGACCAAATTAAAAGCAGCGTTCCAAAGAGGTGAGTTCATGGATCAGAGAATATTAGGAGGATACACAAAATAGCAGGGAACAGGCAATTGACAGTTGAATTTATATTGTATTTTTAAAAAAACCCTTCTCTTAGATGCATTAGCCTCCTAATTTATTGCAATTAATATTTGTAAATTACTGTGCAAACAACAATGGTATTGTTTAAGTAACAGCATTTTACTCTGCATGCTGTTTCAATTAGAAGGTTCATTAATATTGGTATTCATTCCTTCAGCTCAGCAAATTGTTATTGTTCTAAGGATGTATAAATTCAAAACTTAATTATACTGTTGAAACAGTAATTAAAATATGTATTGGCATGGCACTGTCAATTAAAGCTATATTCATAAGCTTCAGGAACTTCCACTTCCAGTTGTGTGGAAGATGCAAAAAGAATTGGACACCTTTAAGGTAGGGTAAGCCCCACCCAGGCTGTTATCCCAATGTCCCTAACACTTAACAAGAAGCTACTGCACATTTTCCAGAAGAGGTTTAGAAAAGAGTTTCTTACTAGGAGGAACTATCTTCCCAGTTCCTTGTGCATAATTCACAGTAAGTCCTCCTTTTTTGCTGTAGAAAATATATTCTCCTTCAGCTCAGGTCTCCCTGATGTGTCAGCAGCCTGCCATTGTTTACTGCTGAAACCTTATGGCTGGAGAGTATTCCATATGTTCTCATCGGCTTTATGATATATTAACATTACTCTACCACTCCTGCTTGCGTTAAAAGGTCTCAGTGGCAAATAGCAAAGCGTCCCATGATAAGAATTATTGCATTTTAAATCATTTCCACATCACTTTGCTGGGTATCTGATAATATCTCTTTGGGCAAATAAGCACCTCTAGGCAAGGTATCCCAGAAAAATAACCTCAGAGTAAAGAATGCCTATGGCCCACACAGATGAGACACATGCTCAGAAAGTAGAGAAAGAACAAAAGAAGAGTTGTTTCCCAGATTCTTGTTTTAAATACCACTACCAGCTATATCTAAATCCATCTTCTTTACAAATAAATAAACTGAGACCAAAAAAATGCAATGAATTGTTCAAATTGACTTCATAGACTACTGGTTATTTTTCCAGAGACTTTTACTTCCTGTGGCCTATCACCTTGCAGACAAAGCTATATGTTACAGAAAACATATTTTTATGTAAGTAGAGTTGGAAATCAAGGGACTATGGACTATAGTTCGTGAAATAATTAGATAAAAAAAAAACACCTCAAGAAGCAATTATGAACCCAAAATTATTCAGCAAGTTATGCTACAGATCTAATACTAATCTACCTCTAAGCTTGGGCCATGATACCTCCAAATCAAAGTTTTATCTTTGTAATGAAGTGTTTTAATTATTGTTTCCATATACTACTTTATCCTAAAACTACGTAATACGTCCCAACTCCAACCCTGGTCCTCATTACTGCCCATGAGAGGTATTTTCAGCCATGCAGCTCATTTGCTGAACTATGAACTCACTATACCACTCATACTCCTGCTAAGCACCAGTCTGCAAAAACCCACTTATGGCAAGTCACCCTTATTTGTATCTTCTACAGGATCTAGTGATATAGTAAGCTGACATGTCAGTCATGATGCAATAGGTGTGCAATACACTCATCACAACTTGATTGGATAAAAGTTCATATGCAAGAAGCTTTCTTGCAGTCCATTCAGTTGTACACTAAGGTGGAAATGAACGAAAACTTGGAAGAATTCAGTAGACATAGGTCTGAGGAGTGTCATTCCAGCCAATCCAAAAGTTTTGCTTTCCCTCAAAATAAATATGGTAAACACTAACTCAAGGTTCTTCTGCCCACCAACTCTGGAAGTTTATGAATATGGCCTTTACTCCTAGGGTTGAGGCTCACATCATTAATTGTGGGGTTTTCTTCACCTCTCAGCAGGTTTTTCTGGAGTCCCATGTAGTGTATTTATCTGATATTTACAGACTGTTTCTGTTGACTACCACAGGTTTACACCTTATGAATGGTATAACCCCCACCCGTGCAACCCTGACTCAGATGTGGTGGAAAACAATTTTACTTTACTAAATAGTTTCTGGTTTGGAGTTGGAGCTCTCATGCAGCAAGGTACACCGGTTGCCCATCTTTGTCACACGCATCCCACAGTCTGCTGACAGGCTTTCATGCTGGTAAACTCCACCATGAAGCTAGAGGGTAGTCCGAAACACTGCCATAGGAGTTTTTAATAATAGCAACTGACTTTCAAGCCAGTTCTAAAGACGAAGACAGACCTATGATGTAAATGGAACTCCTTTGTTAATATCTAAAATAACACTCTTATCTATCAATGAATACCATTATCCTTTGGGTAGCAAAGGATAAAGTGCCTTAGAAATTATTTACAAGTTTGCATAGATGGAGGTGTTGATCATTTTCTTTTTGATGGTTACTCCAGAAGTCAAATAGTTAAGACCAATGGAATTTAAATCTTTTTTAAAGATTAAATTCACTTACATTCCTCCAATTGGTGACAGTCTCTAAAACTTTCACTTAACTGCCACTCTGACCATCCCTACTGAGATTCATCTTAGCCTCTCGGTAAATTTTCACAATCTTTCTCAATTGATATCCATAGCAACAGTAAACTATAGAGGTTGAGGGAATAAAATTCCAGTCAGAAAAAAATGTAATAAACTGCATATATGTTCTGTCATTTAAGGGATTTTGCTATTTTTGCAAGGGGAAGAGAGAGTTATTTCAACATTTGGAAGAAATCCCTCTCTTTCATGGATTTTCTTCAGCTTGTATTCTAGGCATATGGTCTAGAAAATACATCCAAGATTAAATGCTTTAATTTAAGAAAATCCTAAATCACAGATGCTGTTGTTTTTTGGAATATCTGCTCACTTGACAATAAAGCTGCAAAATAAATTGGCAAAAGAAAAATCCAACTGGGGTATACATTAAACATGTTTGCTATTTGGAAGTGAACCCAGCATTTTCATTAGGATGTTATTATGATACCATTTGAAATGCGTATATTCTGTCTTGAAATGAAGGAGAGGGAAAGGGAAATGAGAGAAAAGAAAAAGAGGCAAGAGAGAAAGGGGGAGAGAGAATTCTTAAGTTTCTCTAGTATAAAAATACCAAATAATTGAAGAAAAGGGGCAGTTAAGCAGAGTGTATTCGGAAAAGTAGGTAGACACCACCTGATTTACTAGAAATCACTGGTGTAAATTTAGAGCACAGCATAGAGCACTGTAAGTCCCATAAGAATCCCCCATCAGAAGCCAATCTTGAGAGTATTCTTCACACTAGTGAACACTTTCAGATTGAAGAGCACCTTCCATTCACTACAAACTGCCCTCATCCAGCCGACAGAATGGAAAACAATACATTTGGGCTTCCCAGCACAGGCAGCAGACCCGCACACGTGGAGGCTGCGGTTGCCTTCTGCTGAGCGCGCACACCCACCCCAGAACTTCTCTTTCATAACTGCCTGCTTGGAGTTTACCATCATCCACAGCAAACTGTGGGATGCAGTGTCTGTTAGTTACCACTACCTTGGGTACATGACAGTCAGCCCCAACCAGACTCTGCTTGTCTTTCAAGAAGTGTGTAAACATTTGTCAGGTGCAACAAATGTTTCCACGCTCAGCCGTGGGGTGCTCGCGACTGTTGGGACGTCTGTCCTTGGCACGCGGAGTGGAAGCAGGTACCTGTGCTCTCTCTCGTTTGCAGAAGCTCGTCACTGTACTCAATTGGAAACCATTTTGTTGGATTTCTTTTTGGATGTGATGATCAGACTTTCTCTTTTCTACAGAGCGTGAGCAAAGTCTGGATCGGGATTGGCTGTCATGTCTGCCATAAAAGGCACTAAAGAGATTCAGCAAGTATTGTCTCACACCCCAGACATTCCTATGGTGCTTTTCTCTACTGTGATTGCTTTTGTAACTCCTCCTCCTCCTCTCGAGTCCCGAACTTAACGTAAATCATCTCTTCTTGAAGGAAGCCCTAAATATATCACTGTATACTAAGAATCATAATTCACAAAATTATGTGAAAATTTCAGAAAACACAAAGGGACGTGAAGTAACTGAATTGATGCCGGGTACTGAGAGTTTTAAATACAATTTCAGTAGGTTTATTGAGTGGTTTTCTAGTTTCCAAAAGAGCTTCGTCCAAATTCGTAAATATTTATCTTAAAGTGAGAAAGCCATGAGTTTACATTAAATGTTAACAGTTGGTTATTTATGTGTCTGTCCAGTTTTACTTCCATATTGATAAATAACTGTACAAATATATGGATTCAAAAGTTCATCTTTTCATAAATACAGCCAAATTACATAAGGATAAATTTACAGCAGAAAAGCTGTACCTATAAACCAAGAAAAATACTTCTATTAAATCTGTTCTTTATTTCCCATGGCTATTTTATTAAATAAATGCCATTTTAATGATAACCAGCTAAAGATCTAAAATAATATAACATTGCCATGGGGCTGCTAGATCAATTAAGTACAAAGATATGAAACAACCTTGGGCTTTAAACACACACACCCATCGGCATATAAATCCCATTAAGCCACAAGATTAAAACAACAGCAACAAATTATTCCACTAAATCCTTGCAGGCAATTTACTGGAAACTATTATAAATTTTTGTATTATTACATGCTCAAGTTCAAACAAAAAAAAAAGAAATACAAATTGCAGTCAAACTATTTACCTCATTAGAAGGGAGTAAAGCACAAAGCATCTAACAGCTTTACGAGGACATTTCTGTTTATTCAAAGGCCAGAAACTGCTGGCCTCCATCAGCTTGTCACCAGCCGTCAGCTGGCTTTGATTTCATGAGCAATCTGTACATCTCTTTATAGATTAAACCCACATAAACTCATTTATTTATAGATTGGCAGACTCTAAATTTTCTTTCCATTTTAAACCATCGTTAAGTACAAAATTGCAAAACACCCAATCATTTTTCAGAAAGGAGCCTATAAATCAGATGTTTGATCTGCTGTACTTTTGGGGATTTTAAATTTAAGTTGTTCTTCCTCCACTCTTTGGTCATATAAACTCCTCATGCCTTCAGGTTCATTAAAGAAATGTTAAGTACACAGCCAAGGGTGAATTTTAGGCAAATGGACTAACCAAAATCCATCTATGAATTAGAGCGAACTCAATTGTTTTTCTGGTCTCTTTTGATTCTGCTACTGAACTTATAAATATCCCCGGCCCCATTAGACTAAAACTGAACTAGACTTCTTTTCAAGATGTAAATTTAGTCCATAAGCCCTTTCTTTGAGCGAGAAAAATTTTTCTTGGTGAGCATATTATGTGCCTTTATGTCATTTTTTAAAACATAACCATGAACCACCTAAATATCCAAAATGTATATTCTTACGAGGAAGGGCTCTCTCCACCTGAGAAACAACCAGGTTTTGAGTACAATTAAGAAATAGTACTTAATTAAAAGACAAAGGTATGCTTTTCAGAGAATAAATATTTTGTTAGCCAAATAAAATTGTACATCAGAAAAAAGAATTGTGACTCTAAAAGGGATAAAAAACAAAAAAGATTCATTCACTGTCAAGTACGGTGGCATCTTATTTAATTTTGTTTTCAAAATTCCAATATTTTATTAAAGTGCATGTGACAAATGTCATAATGTTAAGCTTTGAAAAGTTTCTCACAGTCCTTAATCTTAAATAATAATAAATATTTTAAACTTTTCATAATAACACAAAGACCCAGAAGGTCTTATTTCACGCTATAAGATTCATTTCAGACAATAATAAAAAGTCAGAAGCCTTAGGATGGATGTTTCAATTGTAAGCAATTAAAGTACTAAATTATAGGCATATAATACCCCAGGATTAAAGCTATTTTAACATCACCAATCATTGACAAATTATCTTTTAATAGGAAGTGGTGATTTTAAGAAAGGATCATATAGACTTTGCTCCATTTACAGAGAATGCATTTATTTCATCTATAAGCAACACAGTAGGTCCTTGATGCACTTATCTCCCTATGGTAGTGTCCAACTATAAGCCTTCCCTCTTCTCCTGACTGTGCTTAACACCTTTACTCTGATGATACCGTCACAGGATCAGAGCTGATGCCTAAGGCTCTCTCGACCAGGATAGTTGGTGGAATATGGTGGTTTTTCACCCTAATCATCATTTCATCCTACACTGCCAATCTTGCTGCCTTCTTGACAGTAGAGAGGATGGAATCCCCCATAGACTCAGCAGATGATCTGGCAAAGCAAACCAAGATAGAATATGGTGCTGTCAGAGATGGATCAACAATGACCTTCTTCAAGGTAAGAACCTGCCGAAGTGTTCACGGTGGTTACTTCACACTGGAGAGAAAAAGGAGCAAATAATAATCTGTTGGGGTTTCTTTGTACCAGGGATTAAACCCACAACTTCACACTTTCTGTTCAGTTTAAAAGGAAATAGATATTGGAAGACTTTTTAATGAAATAAAATTTATAATAATATGATCCCATTAAAAGAAACCCCTGTGCCTTCAGTGACCAGCATGAAGCAGTTTCTTTCTTCTGTCATTTCTCTGATTTCCAGTGTGATTCACTAAGATCCACAGGTCAAGATGCTCTTGGTCTTTACTGCAGTGCTGCCTTTCAAACACAGTCTGACCACCTGTTAATTAAACACTCATTATGGAAACCACAAGATGAAGATTCTTTAATCCAAAATTCTGACAAGCAACATGTTAGAATATTATCATTTTGTTCTTTTCCTTCTGTACTTGTACTTGATGAGGTAGAAGCAGATGACAAAAAAAAAAAAAAAAAAAAAACAGCAACAAAATCTTGTGTGGGTATTCCAATTTAGTTATTTTAACCAGAAAACAAGGAAACAAGGAACTCTATTATTGTTTGTAGCAATGAAAGACAGTTTTCCCATCCATGCCTGAAGCTTCCAGTAGCTGTGAGAGCCTTTTGTGGCACCAAAGGAGAATTAAATTAGAGTGGATTCATTTTAAGGTCAAGTGCATTTCACTTTTCAGATCTTCTTAATTACTTAGAATAATGAAACTGATTTCTGCTTTGCTTATGGTGTAAGCCTTAGTACTTTTATTACCAAATCTCAGATACTATAATTCCTGAGAGTAAAGGAGGGGATTTTAGTATATCTGCTAGGTTTAGAGATCACAAAGCTTAGTCTACAATGAAGCGAACAAGACCCTCAGAAGCTGAGCTATCTACTTGTAGTCACCTGTTCCCTGACTGAGAGGTGCTAGCATTGCTTTTAAGAAACACTGATGGAGGTAAAGGTAGCCAAAATAAACCCTTGTGAAATTTTACACTCAGATTATCAATAATGAAGTTGTTAGCCCAGGATGAAATAGATTGCTTTGATTTATGAAGAATATTAACTTAGAAACAAAACTAAGGGAAATACAAAAATGTACTCTCTCTTTGCATAACAGTAGTAAGCAGATACTAATGCCATGAATTTTAGCATTATTATATCATTATATTAATAATGATAAATAAGAGTTATTTGTATTACAAATGAGCTACTTGAAGATTTTTATCAAAGAGGAGACTAACACAAAAATAGGATTTACTTTCCCTAATGTTAAGAAAATTGTTTAAGCACTTTTTAAGAACAATGTCATTGGTGGAATGAATGCATAAATCATGATGATTGTCTCTTAGACAGTGATATTTTAAGAAGAAACAATAATAAACATATGGCTTTCCCAGTTTCTGAAAGTATTTTCTTAAACTCTAGTGTAAAGAGACATAAGTTACCGCAGCCTAGTGATACACCATGGCTCTTGCCAGAAACTAGGTAGTCACTTGCTAGACACATAAGACAGAGCAACAGTGCCAACATAGGCTCCAATGTATCTGAAAGACTGTCCCAAATCAAAGGGTTTTAAGACAACTGTGATAATATATGTCTGTAATCCTAGTACTCTAGGAAGCTGATGCAGGAGGATCTCAAATCTGAGCCCAGGCTGGGTATCTTAAAAACCCACTAAGATCTTTGTCTGTCTGTCTATTTCCAGATAGGTAGATAGATCGATAGATAGATAGATAGATAGATAGATAGATAGATAGATAGATAGACAGGGATATCAATGATGTAGATATATAACAAAAAGTGGGATGTAAGTTTGGTTGGGTGTGAAAAGTTTAAAGTACCAAGGAACAGGCTATTTAAAGCAGAAAAGATACTCTGTTCTTCCAGATTTGCACTGCCGATGCCAAAGGAAGACTCCAGGATGCTCTTTAACAAAGCAGTAGAGTTGCCTTTGTCCCTGTGTGAAGGACCTGCGTATTCACAAAGCGCCCCATATTCACTTGCATGCCTTTCAGAACATGCAGAATGCTGACTCCATTTCTGTGACAGGACCCTGGGGTGACATCATGAAGATGGCACTACTCTCAACTATGCTCCCTGGGATTTTTCAGAAAGGGCTCCTGCTTGCTCTTTAGACCTGAAAAGGAGAACAAAGGAAAGGGCTCACTCAGATCTCCAGACAAATGATCAGGCAATATGCATTTTGAAGAGAAAGAACAGAACAACAGTGCAAAACGCAGAAGCCCCTTTGTAAGGAAACATACAGGTCCTATGGGCTGTGGCAAAGGCATTTCTACTGCTTTGTCAGAGAGCAGCCCCGTGGTTCCTTTGGCATTGGGCATGCAAGGATGGACAATCTCTTCTTAATATCCCACTTCCTGGAGCAGCCTTTAAAACTCTTCAGGTCCGCCTAGCTGCACCCCCAGCTGTGCTTTATACATTTATTCCTTTCTTTGCTGTGCTTGCTTGCTTGCTCCTTAAAACAGAGTCTTATTATGTGGTTAAATTATGTAGGCTGAGTTTAAATTTGCACGTTCCTTTCTGAGGCTCCCAGAATGCTGGGATTGTAGGTGTGTGCCACCTTACCCTGCTTAAAACTCTGTGATATTAGTAAATGAGGTAAATCCATGAAAATAGCAGCAGGTACAGCACTAACCCTGAGCTGCCCACTCTATTTCTAAATGTTTTACACTTATTGTCTTATTTCTTAGAAAGGCCAACCGAGGGGAATACTAATGTTGTCCCCATTGTACGGTGAGTGAAACCAGGCACAGACAGGGTGAGTGGCTTGCCTCAAAGTCACAAAGCTCGCAATGAAAGAGCCAAGATGCAGCCAAATCTTACAGAGCTCTACCAAGTTAGCTTCCCAAGGAAACAGAGTGTTCGGCTTTGTTTACTGTTACATTACCAGAATTTAAAACAGTGCCTGGCATGTAGTGGGCACTCAGAAAAAAACACATCATCAGTAAATAAACAAAAGCACAAATCAATGATGCAGAAAAGAAAGAGAAAAAAGAGACAGAGACAGAGACCGAGATAAAGAGACAGAGACTAGGATCGAGCGGTGGATGGATACATAGACCTTGTCAGGAAGAATCTGGCAAAAGTTAGCTTGTGGCCCAGCAACTCTATCTCAAGAAGGAATTTATTTGCAAAAAGAGAACAAGGACTGAATCAGATTTAGTTCTCCCCTTGAGGGAAGCAAGCTGTCAGAAAGCTTTGGAGGGATACATACTCAGAGTTCTTAAGCTGGATTATTTCTCCAGGGTAAGAAATGTTTGTGATTTTTAGTTCTCAGGTGGTTTCACCCTTAGAATCAAATAGGACTCGGTGCCGTGGTGTCTCTACATTAATAATGCTTCACCTTTGATGGGTCACCCTGGCCTCCCTCCCTTCCTCTCTCTCTGAAGTCAAAACAATGACCTCTTGAGCTGTATCGTGAATAAGAAAAGCTATATGTGACACATCTGCCCAGTTGTTAGAGAAGTCACTTCATCAAGTGGCCCCACCTGACCCCACTGACCATGAGGAATCTTCTAGTAAGAACCATGTTCTCATCACACACAGTGCAGTGAAGGTTTTGTTCTCCTTGGCAGAATCCCAATGGCAACAACCTGCTCTTTCTCCTGCAAGTTAATTTAAAATAATTTTACCACTAAATAATAGGCCATTGCTGGGATCAGAGATATTACCAAAACCCAAGATGAAACACAATACACTAATCTCACATGTTTCTCTCTAGGTCACAAGCAAGGGATGTTTGGAGAGAAGTATCTCCGTAGAAGGATTGTCCTGAAATTGTTCACTAAAATTTCAGTCAAAATCCATTGATTTTTTTTTCCTAAAATTTGCTAGTCTTACAAGCAGCATGATACTTTAGATTCCAGAATACCAATATTCAACTCTCAATATGAAAAACCCCATAAAATTTGCTTTAAAAGTAGTTCCAGTAAAGTTCCACTATCCATTGTCTGAATTCAGGGAAGGCAGAAGAGATAAGCTAAAAAGTTTAAACAGTGTGGGAATTAGACAATATGTGTCTGAAACAGAGGAGGCTACCTCATCATCAAAGATTTGCTTATACCAAAGGACTAGGATTAAATCATAAACTAAACTTCTAGAGTTTTAAATGGAGCTGGTACAACCCATGAGGGAGAGAATTAGTCTATATTTTGTGACCAAATTCCCAGCAAATGATACTTATTTGACACTACAAGTTTATTTTTTACACATTCATCAGCACTCTGAGTCTTAAAGTCTTAAGCATCAAGGATAATATGATAGACTATTTGGTCAGAGGATATCAGTCACCACAAGGACAATTAGCATGGCAAAGTTAGAAAAACATGTGGCATTTCATCAGTCACTTAGATACCACTGGAGATGTCTTAAATTCTTTTCTGGTTATTAGGAAATCATTTTTCTCTCTTAATCAAGTCTTCAGTTACTTCATATATTCTGTTTATGAATCAGAGTATTCATAATTCAGAACTCCAGGGCAATTTAAGAGAATTTTTCAATAGACTTGATTCTTGGGATAAAACTAATAATCCAGTATTAACTGTATTTGTTTGCTGATAAGTGGCTTGGTCCTTCCTATTGATTTAAAGGTCTGAATGGTGGCGGCCTTCCTGACCCTCCTGTACCCATGAGACCACTAGCAGAACCTTAGGAGACATAAACAAAGAACAGTCAGCTTGTGCTCAAACTCAGTAGACGTAACTTGGGTACAGAGTCCCTAAGGGCCACGAGTTGAGGAATTTCCCTAGTGTGTACCCAGGAAAACTGAAAGCAGTGACAGTTGAATATAACTTTTCCTTTCATAAATGAGCACTTGAGATGCTACCAGCTTTTTGTATCTTTCATAGGAAACAAGAAATGTACAAAAATCTTATTCTTCATCCTTGTTGCAATTCTACTAACCTTATGGAACAGTGAAGTAGTCCAAACTCCACTGTCATTCTCACAGTGACAATGTAGCAAT